TCCTCGGGAGTGCGGGGAGGTGTCAAAGTCTGGTTAGGCGAGGTGATGTACAGGTACCAATGGTCTCCGTTCATCTTGCCAACCATGTAAGCACTGCCGCCTTCAAACATGTCGTCCAGGTACTTGACCTCCGACTTCCAGCTGCGATGGGGACCCTCCTGGCGATCAGGGAACAGGAAGTTCTTGCGACTGTAGAAGACGCGGTAGGGGGTCGCGGCAGCCTTGATATCGGTGGCTTCCTTTGCGTTGTGGAAGGGGAATCCGGCGTGCTCAGCAGCGATGTGGAGCAGACGCTGCAAGCCCAGCAACAAAGTCGTGGTGCCACAGGTCTTGAGGATGAGCTTGTGGGGGAACACAAACAAGCTGGACTCGGAGAGCAGGTAGGCATCGACGGAGTCGGACTCGAGGACGGACAAGATCTTGCAGTTAACCATGTCGAGCATGGTGACCCAAGTGTCGGCGGAGACGGCCTTCAGTCCATCGGGCTGGGCGCTCGCGGGGAGAGCGTCGGGACCAGGAGCGAACCAGACTTCGAGGAGCTTCTCGGGGCCCTCGAAGGCGTTGCTCGAGTCTAGATCGGCAGCGACATCGTGATTGATAGTCAGATGAGGAGTTGCCTCAGACGGAGAGAAGGTGTAGTTGTTGGGGACCGAGAGATTGACCATCTTTAGCGGGGCGGGCTATCTGGGCGCGACCCGGGAGATTATCGACGAGATGGAGATGTGGTGTTCTCGGAACAGGAGGGCTAGAAGTCCGCGGGACACTAGCTACCACTCAAACGAACTTTGCGGCGTTCGTTTGAGAGAGTAGGCCCACAGGAGGGTGGACGTTCGTTGAGGCTGGCGGAGCCAGCAGCAATGGTATTGATAGAGGGGTTTTAACGTCACTCGAAAGGACGTTAGGGGGGCCGGGCTTGGAGGGGTAGGAAAAAGACCCTTGGCAGCGGAATGTTGGCTCGATAGATGGGCCTCGCTCTGGCAGACACCGATACCTGTGGCGGAGTATCGGACCTAGCAGACGAGGTTATCTGCGTGATCGGGATTTGAGGGTACGGACGAGGGAGACAAGGAGGCTCGTGTGGGCAGTCAGTCGAAGTATGTTGGTGCTTGGAATATCAGCAGGTGTTATCTGGGCCTGGGAGAATCTGTTAGTAACATGAGAAGAGGGATGGTAGATTGCAGAGTCATGGCTGGTCCATGGAGGACCAACACCTCGTTTCCGGCGGTTGGGAGCTTTGCAGCAGACTGAAAGAGAGAGGCAGAGATAGAGACGCGTACTTTGCGGGCTTGGAGAGGAAGCGTAGGAGGTCGATCCGGTTCATAGACGGCCAGAAATCGGCAGAGATGGAGGGGCGAAGGCGGCAGAAGCAGGCCAACGACGTGTGTATCACCGTGATGTGGTGTTAGACTCGAGGATTGATCATCGAAAGATTTGGATCTCTAGATGGCGAGAAAGGTCGGTCGGAGAAGCTTCCGATTGATGTGCTGGCACGTTATGGGGGGCAGGTGTCGAGGAAGAGTCTCGTGACGACGGAGAGCGATGCGCCGGCGATGGCAAAAATTGAAGCTGAAGTGATCGAACTAGTCGGAGAGCAGGTCTCGACAGAACGAAACAAGGCGGACGGGTTTTCAAGTCGCACAACGTGTCTTGAAGGCGGTAGAGAGGATCAAGCTCGAATTTTGAAGCTTGCAGCTAGATTCTGCGAGGTTGTTGTGGTTGTGGTTTTCTGTGGAGGCCGTGGAGGGGAACACAAAGTGGAAAAAAAAAGTTGATTCTGCGCATCGGCGATTGGCGGTTCCCTGTCTTGGACACCCAGGTAAGGTTAGGTACCTTAGGTATTCTTGGGTACCCCTCCCCTAGCGTCCCGTCAGGCCAGTGTCCCCCTCGGCGGGCTGGGCGCGTTGTCGTCCCCCACCTAACCTGGAAAATTTCAGCCCAAGCAGCCAAACAGCGACAGGGAACTCCAGGAGGGAGGAGGTATTTTCATCTCATGTACCTGGCCGTTTCTTTCTGGTGACCAGCCCTTCCTCGCTGCATCTTGTTCCCGTTCAGTAGCTTCCGTCCGCATGTTCGCGTCAGATCACTGGTTGGTTCATGGGGAGCTGTGCCCGGGAGAGAACGGATAGCGGGTGATATGTGTCTGCCCGTAAGGTACGGCTCATTGGCTTGTCTGTCGAAACGGGGCGACCATGCCATGCAGGAGACGCGCCGTGAAGAATGGAGTGAGACGTCATTTTCGTCAGCTCCCCTGCTGTACTCTGTACCTTACCTCGTGGTCTGGGCTTGACACCGAGACACGCTCCTGCAGTGGGAACAGAGGGGTCAGGGGAGTACATAATGTGCCAGGCGAGTAATTGTGTAAATAATCGATTGATATTTGGGTTGAGTCTTGTTTACTCTAGTACACTGACTCTTGAACAACCGGCGTAGCATTCTCCGTTGTTTCGCAAGGTAAGGTACACTTTCAATAATGCGGTGAGACCGTGAGTACTAATAAGGTACCCTCGGCGACTGAAGCCTGAGTTCGGCCGCTCCAGGGCAGGCCAGGTTAATGTCAATCAGGCACCGTCGAGACGTTGGCGGGGCTTTTTCTGGGGAGAACGCCAGCCCGGCCAGGGATTCCGCCAATCTCAGCCACCCTCACGTGTCTTTACTCCAAGCCTGCCCAGTGCCATGCATCGCATTCTACGCTGCCCATCGGTTGTCACCGACAATGCGTTGCATCGCCATTGCTCGCATCAGTGATGCTGCACTTTGAGCGGAATTCAGCCATGATCCAACGGGGGACTCTTTCATGCTTCAGGTTGTGCTGCTGGTGGCGTCTCTGCACAGCGCCTTCATCTTGTTGGAGTTGGAATAGGTAATGCCGGCAGGGTGCAAAGGCTTTCTCAAGTCCCTCTGCCTAGACCTTCGAGCCAGCAAGTGCGCGCGGGTGGCATCTGCTTGGTTGTGTGATGGATGCTCCTTCAACTCGTTCATGACTGGGCTTGGCTTTCGACGGTCGCTGTCAACTTGGTCGTGATTTCCTTGAAGATACCTGCGAGTGAACAGTCCTGATACTTCTCAACCAGAGTATCGCCTGACTGTGCCCGAGACTGGCCGAGGTCCTGACCGTTGACCTGGGTACCTTGGGGATACTGCGGTCTCTTGCCCGACTCGACAAGCTCACCAAATTGAGGATCGATAGGGACGGTTCCAAGGAAGGGCACCGAGAACTCCTGAGCCATGACCTCCCCACCCCCAGAACTGAAGATGTTGGTACACTCGGAGCAATGGGGGCAGACGAAGCCGCTCATGTTCTCGATGACGCCGAGCACGTTGAGGCCAGTCTTGACGCAAAAGTTGAGCTCCTTCTTGACGTCGGCGGTGGCGACGGCTTGAGGGGTTGTGACGACCACCGCGCCCGCCACCTGTCCAGGTCGAGCGTCGCGCATGAGCGTCTCTGCGAGAGAAATGTGCTCATCACTGGTGCCGGGAGGGGTGTCGATGAGGAGGTAGTCAGTTTCGTCCCAGAGGACGTCTGAGAGGAACTGCCGGACCATGGCCGTCTTTTTGGGGCCGCGCCATACGACAGCGTCGCCGCGCCGAGGGAGAAGGAATCCGAGACTCATTGCACGGAACGGGCCGATGCCCTTCTCTTCGACGGCATCGTGGACTGGCACGGGAAGCCAGCCGCCGGGTGCCTGGGTGACCTTGGAGGCTTCAATAGAAAGCATGCGCGGGATGGACGGGCCTGTGAGGTCGACATCGAGCACGCCGACAGAAAAGCCCGCCAAAGAAAGCGACAGGGCGAGTTGAGTCGTAACGGACGACTTTCCGACGCCGCCCTTGCCCGACAAGACCTGCGCAAGCCAGTCAGTGTACGGTCGTCGCGACGAAAGTGGGATGGCGGGGTAATACCAGCACAATATGCTTGACCTTGGTAAGCGACATGTTTATTTGACGGTTTCGAGGGAGAGAAAAGCCGAATGCCTGGAACGGACAAAGAGATATTCCCACAAAGTGTCGACAATACCGTTGGGAATTGAGGTTTATGAGAGGTGAAGACGACGAGCAAGTCAAGGGCGGCACATTTCAAATCAACAGAAGACGGCGAAGCTGCGATGTTCCGTCCCCACTCTGCCTCTGCCGGCCAGGTGAATCAATCGGCGCCGTGGTTGGTAAGCACTGGTCGAGGTCAAAGACGGAATTCTGGCCAGTGGCTAGGTTGGTCAGGGTTCAGCCTCCGTCCACGTTGTCTGTGAGGCGGCTTTTCAACGGAATTTTGACACGTTCTAGAAGACTTCCATTCACCAAAGGTAGGTTTTTTTTTGCCTCTCACATGCCGTCATCGGCGCTGGCTGCACTGGATCAAAGGTGCTGCTCCCGTCCTTATCTAATCTTCGTAACCTGCTCCGGCTGGCTAAACTTCGGCATCCATCTCGCCGTTTGTTTTGAGCGAGCAAACGAGAGATGAGAGATGACAGTGACAGGCTTAGTCACCTCGCTTAGCTCAGCATCCTCCGGTGCTGAAGACAGCGCTCAGGCCGGCCGTAGCCAGCCAAAATAGACGCTGCTGAAGCTCCCGAGGAACCGTGAGACAGCGCTGTTGTCTTGGACGTGGGTCCGGAGTCCCTGAGGTGGACATGGGTCGCGGTCTGGGACATGCAGCCGTCCATTCCACGAGTGTCCTCGCTTCTCATCACACTCCATTCCCTCCCGCGTTGCAGAAGCTCCTTTTTTTGATGTTCCACGCTGGTGCCGTCGCTGTTTCCTGACCGATTGAGACATTGGCGCCCCTCTCTCTCCAACGCCGCATCCGTCATCCTGTACGAATGAATACCTAGGCTGATACCTCAGCCATTGCCACCAACCCCAGCAACCGACCTCCCGAGCTGCGCATCGCGAATCGTCGACGATGGCCATCTAATTCCGGACTCCCATCACCACAATCCGCCGACGCGCGAAGTCCTCTTCCTTCGTCTCAGCATCGACAACAACATGCGCTGTAGTTCCACACTATGGACGATCCATGGGGCTCCCCGTGGGCAACTTCCGACAATCCCACCGCGCCGTCAACCAGTCCCTCCAAGACCATCCTCGAACCTCCGCCCGCCGCCTTCCTCTCCACCCCGAGCAATCTGACATTGCCTTCCGCCCAGTCACCATGGGGGCTGGACGACGATGCGTTTGGCGATTGGGCATCCCCGGACCCCGCCAAAGCTTCGAACGCGTCGCCGTGGGCTTGGGGCAACGAGCCTGCGCCAATTGAGCAGCTCACCCCCAGCTACGAGCCGAGGCCCCGTCGCAAGAGCAGCACTCCCAAATGGCCCCTGAGCCGCTCAGCTTCGCCAGGCCTGAGGGCACCGACTACACCAAATAGCCTATCGTCAGGCCGCTTCTCACCAGATCCGTGGGCAAATGCTTCCTCCTTCACCAAAGACGACCCCGAGCCTTTGGCGCAACTGCCCCAGATACCCGATGTGCCGTCGACGGCACTCGACACTCCCACCATCGAGCTCGAACCAGATACCCCGAGACAAATAATACCTGAAAGTAATTCAACAAACGGACGCCCCATCTTCGACTTCCACCAAGACATACTCGAAGCCATATCCAAGCCCCCCGACGACATCGCGGATATTCCCGTGAGCGACTATCAACCTGCGCAGTTTGACGGGCCGTCACCTTCCTCAGTATCCACATCATCTGGAGAAGAGGACGAGGTTGAAGATGACGACGAATCTCAACATGTGCCACACGCCGACTCCCCCATAACTTCGATCGAAGACAACCCCATTGCCAAGAGCATACAGAGGAAAGCCTCGTCCAAGGTCCAGTCCTTGGTAGAGATGTACGATGGAATAGCCAAGAGGACAACCGTCACTCCCGAGCGGCAGCCTCCCTCTCGGCAGAGTGCCAGCAGAGATTTGAACGCAAGTACAGACGATACCTCGGTCCATGACTTGGATGACTCCATATCCTCGTACGACGACGAATCCAGACCGGCGCAGGCATCCTCCACGGGAGATGTTGAGAAGGAGCCCGCCAAGACCCAAAGTGACGTTGCAAACGAATGGGAGGAGGTTCGAAAGCCAAAGGTTCCAGAGCACGATCCTTTCATGGTCGACTTGAGCAATCTAGACACCTTAGTACCTGAGCCTACCTCTCTTCCAACACCAGAAGACGCGGGAGACGTGACGGATCGGATCATTACCGACAGTTTCACCGGCATATCAGAACGCAAGATGTGGTATCGGCTGTCGCGCCACGAATCCCTTCGCAAATTCAACGTTGGACACGATGAGAATTATGTTCGTATCACATGGATGAACTCCATCATGCGAGATGAGACGATGAAGATTGTGCGCAGGTGGATGGAGGAAGACTCAATGGGAGGACGCGCTTTCCGGGGAGGTCTCGCCAGGAAAGCAGGCGGCAAGTTCTTTGGCTGGGACTCGACAACAGAGTCGACGCCAGTTGACTTGGATCGAGTGTTTGGACGCAAGGCAAAGCGGCAAGCTTCTGTGCATCGACCTACCCACTCTATTCACGCTCTGCCTTCTCTTTCGACGGCACCTATGGTCCCTGCGTCCAAGGAGAGTACGCCAGCTTCTGCTCAGGCCAAGGACAATTGGGGAGGACTGGCGTCCTTTGGCTGGAGCACCGCACCTGGTGATCCAAAGGCAGCAGAAGAAGCAAAGGCACCTGAGCGCACTAACTTCGCGAAACCGCTTCCCCTCGGTTTCCGAGGCTTTGACAACACTCCAAAGTCGCATGCTTCCCTGCCTGTCTTTGCGTCCACTAAGCCATTCGTGTCCACGACTTCAACGGCCGATAAGCCGTCTGGAAATGAGGCAGAGGATGAAGACGAGGACGATGAATGGGGCGACATGGTTTCTCCGACAACTGCAGAAGCAACAGACTCGACGTCTCTTCCCAAGACGAGTTGGGATTCGTTCTCGACGAACCCGCTACCCGATGCACTGCTGACGGCGCCCTCTGACGGCCCCTTGGCTCCCAACCCCAGACCCGAAAGTCTCGGCACCGGGAATAAGACAGCGGAGGAGAGCAAATCAGGAGTCAAGGATATTGGCAATGTAATCCGCCCCGCCCCCGCCTCCACACCAGCTGCACCAGCAGGCGCACCCCATAGCCAAGTCGGTTTGGTTAAGCCGCCAGAGTCGACGTACGCCTTCAGACCGGCGTCTGTGAAGAAGCGACCTCCGAACATCTCCATAGCGCCAAACTCGATCGACCCGCCAGCCCCATCTCACGATGGTAAAGCCGGTGTATCTGCGGGAGGGCTGCTGAACACGCCTCTAACATCGGGCCTAGGGACCCCGTCCACGGCTCAGCCGCGGAATAGTACCGACGATTCTGAGCTGGTGCAGCAGATTTTGCAGAATCTGCCTGACCTATCATACATGCTGAAATGACACTGGGGCATCTTGAGATTCTATACATAGAGAGAGAGCGACGTCGGCCTTGCTTCACCATAGAAGACGTGAGACACGGCGCCATTCATATTCTCGTTATTTTCACATCATTTAGCCATGCGACTCAGACTCAGCGCATCAGCTACGGAGTTTCTTGGGGCATTGGAAAACGGATTTTAGCAAGTGGCTTGTGACATGTTCACGGCGTGTTTAGTATGCAATCTAAAAATATGGACCACTACTTCACCACAGATTACTGAACGTTTCCTATCTCCAAGCCCTCGTTAGGGAGGGCACACGACACGCAGTGACTGCAGACTGACACATGTCTAGGGGGCATATGACGTGCGGCCAAGCCGAGCTGCATGACGGAGCGAACCCACTTGAGGCGGTGGGATCGGTTAGAGGGACGGAAGAAAGACGACCTCGCGCCGTCTTCAAACGCCGTTGTAGGCCGAATCGTGATCCCGATATTCATTGCCGTCTCGCCCGTACTTGCCGGGCTCAGTGCCGGGTGCGGGGGCGCGGGGGCTCCAAGGGGAGCGTCTTGGGGCATTTCGTGTTTAGACGTGGTCATTCCTTGGCCCCAGCACCGTCTTTCTCTTACACTAGAACGAGTTCGGAGGCGCCCAGAGGAGCCCAGGAGCCACAGAGAGGCGGCGGCAGGACAGACACCGGTTCTCCGCGCATCCCCGCAAGATCCACCCAGCAGGGTCCGAAGAAAGCTTAACGCATAGCGTCACGGCCGTCTCGGCGGTGCTAGTTTTAGCATTTTCCCCTTCATCCCTTCTATTTCAAAAAAGACTCATGTGAGAGGACCAAACGACTACAAGAAGGCCCCGGCGCCCCAGTCTCGACACTTTTTGATTATTCCCGGAAACGTTGCTGATGTGTGGATGACCTGGTCTCAACTGGTTTATATCAGTCTCGCTTCTTCGCTTCCCCATCTTTTTTTATTTTCACAATATTTCTCTTCACACAATTCCTGAGCCGATAGAGTTGAGACACTGAGAAACGCAGACCCTCACGATGGCCCTCATCGAGCTTCTCATCTCGCCATGGGCACCGGCCCTGCTGGCTGCAGGCTTGGTGGCCTACTACCTATACCCATACTTTGTCACGTACGCGCATTTGCGTGGCATTCCCTCTCCATTTCCAGCACAATTCACAAATTTCTGGCTGCTGTATGTTGTCCGGCGTGGAGACAGATACGAGACGGTTGATAAGCTTCACAAGGAGCTGGGCCCTGTTGTACGGATCCAGCCCAACCACGTGAGCATCGCGGACGACGATGCGATTAACATTATCTACGGTCACGGAAACGGATTTCTGAAATCGTACGTATATGTAGCCCAGAACAAAGCAACCCGCACTGGCATGCTTCCTACGAAGAGAAACTAGCTGACCCCGCACCAGCAACTTCTACGATGCCTTCGTCTCCATCCAGCGAGGCCTCTTCAACACCCGAGACCGCCATGAGCACTCCCGCAAGCGCAAGATTGTCTCGCACACCTTCTCTGTCAAGTCCATCGGCCAGTTCGAGCCGTATATGCACGAGAACCTCGCGCTCTTCGTAAAGAAGTGGGACGAGCTGATCCAAAACAGCCCCGCCAAGCAGGGTGCCGTGCTTGACTGCCTCAAGTGGTTCAACTATCTGGCCTTCGACGTGATCGGCGACCTCGCCTTTGGTGCGCCGTTTGGTATGCTGGCAGCTGGTGCCGATATTGCCGAGGTCCGTGAATCACCAAACAGCCCGCCCATCTACGCCCCGGCCATTGAGATTCTCAACCGCCGCGGTGAGGTGTCTGCCACGCTGGGCATCTACCCCGAGATGAAGCCCTGGGCCAAGTACATTCCGGACCCGTTCTTTAGCCAAGGTCTCGAGGCCGTGCAGAACCTTGCCGGAATGGCCATTGCTCGCGTCAAGGCTCGTCTGGACAACCCTCCCGATGTTGACCGTCTGGATCTCCTTGCCCGCTTGATGGAGGGTCGCGACGACAAGGGACAGCCGCTTGGTAGAGAGGAGCTCACCGCTGAGGCCTTGACGCAGCTCATTGCGGGCAGCGACACGACGTCCAACTCATCATGCGCGCTGCTGTTCCACGTTGCCAGAACCCCCGGTGTTATCGAGAAGCTCGAGGCCGAGCTGGACGCTGCGATTCCCGCTAGCGTTGATGTTCCTACCTACGAAATGGTGCGCGACTTGCCCTACCTGGGCATGGTGATCAACGAGACGCTCCGGTTCCACTCCACATCCGGTATCGGTCTGCCGCGCGAGATTCCCGCCGACTCCCAGGGCGTGTCGATCCGCGGCCACTTCTTCCCACCTGGCACCGTCCTCAGCGTGCCGTCGTACACGATGCACCACTCCAAGGAGATCTGGGGCCCCGACGCGGACGACTTCCGCCCGGAGCGATGGGAGTCTGTCACGACCAGGCAGAAGAACGCATTCATTCCTTTCAGCCACGGTCCCCGGGCATGTGTGGGCAGAAATGTTGCCGAGATGGAGATGAAGCTTATTGTGGCTACGTGGGCAAGGCGTTACCGCGTCGAATTGAAGCAGGACTACATGGATACCAAGGAGGGGTTCTTGAGAAAGCCCCTGGAACTGAATATTAGCATTCACAGGCGGTAGATTCAGTATGGGTCTGGTGGATGTTGACACAATGGCACGGTCCTGACTGTCTTTTTTGAGATGTATACATTTAGACGCTACAGAGGAATGTATCCTGTCAGTACTCTCATGATTTTGTTCGAAGCCTTTCCAATAATGCCCAAAACCCGGCTGTCAGTTGTTCTCCGCATGTTGCATCAGGACTTGTCAAGCTATCTGCCTCATGGCCCGGAACGTTACCTCGCTATCTCCTAGCAAGGTTTGCAACGTAATTTGAAGACCCTTATCACCTGAGATATGCCGCCGAAGCCTCCATTATCGACTCAAGAAAGAGCGCGGCGGCGGTTAAACTCCCGAGGGTTTCGGGTTCATCGCCGGTGGGATAACTGGTATGGAATAGGCTAGTTGTGCCCGTGTAGCACACAATGCTTATCTGGCGGTTCGCCGTTAGCAAGCTGCTCGTGTACTTCATAAGAAAATACTTACACATGAATGATAGATCCCTGACCTCGCAATTTGACTCTTGTCATATCGTGCCGGGTACAAACCCCAAGGTTCGCGGCTGTCAGTTTCTGCCCCTTTGTCATCGGCAAGACGGTAATTTCGATTCCGTTTCACCCGAACCTACGAACTCATCGGACTTTTCGTCTGATTGTGAAGCGTCCCCCCGCATCATTGAAAGTCCTGAAAGTCTCCTTGAGACCACTCGTTGGAGAACCAAGCAAGGGATTCTAGACCCATTGGCTCCATGTTAAAGTCAAGGCTATCCAACGCGCCCTCGAAAGCATTGTTGACCTCGAGGGAGCCAGGTCCAGCGGGCGGCGGCGCCGGCAACATCTCCTCGTCCGGCTTGTCCGACTCAACGACTTGAATGTCTTCCCAGGCACCGATGCCAAAAGGCCGATTGGTGAGCTCGTCGGCAGCGGGCGCACCGCTGTCCGGATCATCCACGAGCTGCACTTGCTTCGCCCGGCCCAGTCGCGATACGCGCTTCGGTCCGGTTCCATTTCTCTCATCATGCGGTTCTTCACTGACCAGTCGGCTCGGCGTGGCCTGTATTGAAAGACCGTGGTCCATGAGACGCTGTAAATCGGTTTGCTGTGGGAGAAGTCAGCAGTGAAGGGAACTAGTGTGATTGCTGAACTCACAATTGCATTTGCTGCTGTTCCGGAACAACAACCCTTAGTGACGTCAAGACAGATCGAAGCCTTCTTCCGGAGGACGTCAGGGGCGAGACCATACTCCTCCGCGTTGAGATGATAGATATAATACAGCATACGGACACACTGATAAGCACAGACAGGCATATCCAAGTCTGCTACAGGGTAGTGGTCTAACTGCTTGATGGAGGTAAACATGTTGGACATCTCCAGGGCATGTTCGAAGCATTGCCGTTGACATTGGGCGCTGAAGTCGGGTCCTAGCCGTTCAGCGGCAGTGCGGGAAAGAGAGTCTCGCAGTCCTACGAGTCCTAATCGGTACAGATCGCAATGGCACTGACGCCACCAGATGTGAATCATGATGAACACGCAGAGTCGCGGCGAGTACGCTCGCAACCGCAAGCTGTTGTCGGACCACCGGAATGATACGGGCAATCTTTCGGCGAACTCTGAGAGCTCCTTGGCAAATGCTTGCAGCTGATCACGCATGCGAGCCAGGTCATCGTCGTTGGAGCAGGCCGCCGCTCTTTTGGCAAACTTCAAGATCCTGCCGCGAACCCAGAGGATACGTACGTGAAGGGCGAGGCTGCCGATATCGTCGTTCTCGGACTCGTCGGGCTGAGGAACCAAGCTCCGCATCGAAGGTGGTGCGAGATCGAACTCAAAGTCTCGCTCGTTGCATGGAAGCGGGATGTGAATGAGCTCGGGAGACCATAAGGTGAGATCTCGGTATCCGCCGGCCATGCCCTGGTCGATCATGAACAACGCCCACATGAGGCGACGTCTTGATTCCTGAGCCAAGAAGCACAAGTCGTTGTTCTCGTGATTAAGGCGCAGTGCCATGGCAAACCTCGCAGCGGTGGCGGCGAGTACAAAGGCGCTGGAGAAGCGCCGAGTCAAGATGCGGTATTTGATTATAAGGGCGAGTGTCTGAACCTTGATGGTTGAGGGGTTCTCCAAGCTTTTCAGAATCAATGCCTCGGATTCATCGACACACTTCTCGCCATACTCTTTCGTGCCTGGCCCCAGGTCGGTGAGCATACTCGTGATGCCGATGAGAGCGAGCAGCAGTGGTCGGTCCAGACCACCGGCGTGGTGCCTTTGCATGAGTGAAGCACGATGCAGGAATGAGAGCATGGGGATGTGATGAACATGACGAAAGAAATTGTCGAGTGCTCGACTGATGAGCGACTCGAATTGGGGATCAGACGCCGAGCTGTGAGTAGTTAGCAACAGCGATATTTAAATTGAATGGGGGCCAGCCTACAGTTCCTGGTTGAAAGTACTTGGGGTGTTGGAGGCCATGACTTCCGGCCCACCGGCATCGGAGTCGTGAGCGCCATCATCTCTAGACTGTGACCGACGCACCTGCTGCTCGCGAGTAGCTGCAGCGGATGATGTCGTCGGTGATCTTACAGCTTGGTCGACACGGGGAGCGTGGTGGATGCTCAGGCGAGCTCGTTTGGATGCCCGGTAAACACACTCGATGCCCTGGTTACGACATCTTTGGCAGGCCGGGGTGTCGCCGCTGCACCGGGCCTTGCGTGAGTGACAGCTCTCACAAGCTTGACGTACGCGACGTCGGGGTAAGGGGAAGGATGGACCGGATGAGAGACCATTGGGATCGGAGTTGGGGTCCTCGTAGGTGCAGTTGAAGCCGAGACGGTCGCAGTTGCTGCATACTTCGCGGCGGCCATCACAACGGACCTTTCGGGCACGACAGGTGACGCATGTCGTTGTCGAGGACCGCTTGGTTGGCTTCGGAGACACGGACGAGGCTGATGCTGTCACGGCAGTGGCAGCACCGGGACCGGGACCGGCTGAGGCTGAGGCCGAGGGAGCAGACAAGTCGGACTGGATGTTGTTGGTGGTGGTCGCGGGTGCGGCTGTCGGTGGTCTGTCGGGTCGGAGATGATGTCCCAGGTTGTCGTTGCTATTGTGATTGATGGTGTTTGGGTTTTGGGGGTGATTGTTACTATTGCCGCTGCTACTACCGAATAAGTCTGCCATTGTCCCAGACACGAGCGAATACGCGAGGGCGCGGCCTCGATTCCTGTCACCGGAACTCGGCGGCGTCTGCTGCAGACATGGAGAGGGATGAGGCTCGGTCTAAGGGCTCACGGATTTCCCATTCCGGGGAACAATCGGCGTGGGTCTCAACTCAGAACACGGCGACCTGTGTGTCCAGTCCTCTGCGCGCGCGCGCGTGTGTGTATGCGACTGAGTGTTTACTGTGAACGGTAGGTACAAACATGCAGGATAAATCCGGGGAACAACAAGGTAGCCGGTGGCTGTACGTGTAACAAAAGGTGATGGGAGGAGGTCTATCCGTAGCTAGAACAATTTTCTGCTCGGGGCAGGCAAGGCAATGGAGCAATGGCAAGGCAAGGCAATGAGCAGCCGTGTACATATGCAGTACGGCTGGTGGAAGCAGGGAACGGAATGCAGGCACAGGTGAGTGACCACCGTTCTCTTCATCAACCATTGCCCGCGGACGAAAGCAACAAATGGCAGGTAGCCGGGGCTCTTTCGGAGACTCTCTAGGGGGGTGTCTGACGACGAAGTAGGTACTTCACAGTGGCCCCTTGTCCCCCCAACTCGGTTGCCCGAAAAACTCTCCGGGGAATGACGGGGTCCAGCTTCGTTAAGATTGCCCTGAAAATTGCCACCTACTACAACGGACAGGGCAGCCTGTGAGACGGAGCTGGCTCCTAGACTACCTAGGTAACTCACATTCTATGGTAAACACAGAGTCTTCAGTGTTCGGCATTGATGGCTATTTAGGTGGATTGATGAAGCTGAACAATTCAAGTCATCTGAATGAAGCGCACATCTCTCTTGACGGCAGCTTCGGAAAGAAGCAAAAGCCCAACAGGTCCACTGCGAGCCACGTCAAGAATACCTAGACCACGGAACTTACACCGTGTTGAATGGAGCATCATCCACCGCCAGATCCCCGGGTCGGCAGTCGGTCATCACTGGCGGACACCAGACACTGCAGACCGGAGAAGTAACAGCTGGATTAGAACATATAGATCACATACCATTTGTAACGGATCACTTCAACGGTGCTTCATTCAAGCTCGAGGCTCCGACAAGAGCACTGTCACGCGACACACAGACCCGGAAAGAGCGCAAAACATTCCACATTGTTCTGTCGCATGGTAGGCTGTCGGTTTGTTTGGCCGAGAGCCGACGCCGAGAGCCGCAGAGGCACCTGCATGAGCATCTTGATCTGACATGTGCCCGATTGCTTTTCATGCAACCGTTCTGCTTTATTGAACGGTTTGAGGAGAGATGCGACACAGGCATATTGCGTGTTGAAAAATATCCATCGTTGGCTCTGATTTGACTGCAAGCTTGAGATGCTCTGGCCAACAGATGCATCTGACAGACGAGTCAATTCCGTTCAACACTGACCGACAGCCGACGTGTCCTTGGCATAGTTCCAGTCACAAGCTTCATCGCAACCTTGGTTGGCGGGATCTTACTTTTCCGCAGCATTCAGGCGGACCAGCTAGCCGTCGTCTGTCCATTGCCGGGCTTGAGGAGACGCTGATCCTGGGGATGTCGTGATCGGTCTTTGCAGATGTCGAGCAATGCCCACGGCGGTAGAGTCGGTGTATTCTTGCTGTCATGGTACTCCCTGTGACGTACAAATTGATCTGCACCTGACCTGAGCGGCCATGTTGCAATTGCAATTTGGGTACAGGGCGGTGAGGGCCCGAGGTAAGCTACCTGTTCACCGAGCAAGCGGTCTGGGGTGAGCGGTGAGGCCACTGGGTGTGCTTGGCCGACAGGCACAGGTACCGCAGCACCGGCTTATCGAAAAAAATTACACCCCACCACAACCCCGCGATAGAGGAAATTTCCCGTCCCGTTCAAAATCATCCGCCGCCTCTCCTAATCATCGCCCACGTTGCGACTGCATTTGAAGTGGCCGTGCAAGTTTCCGACCGTCGAGAATATTTCCGGACTGATTGGAGTAACTGGCGAAATTTCCATTACCATCAAAATGTCCACAGAAACGGCGCCCGCTCCTGCGGTCGCAAGCCCCGCGGCGAACCAAGAGCGCAAGCCCATCCACACCCTCGTCCTCGATACCGGTCCGTTGATCAAGAACGACCCTCCCGTGAGCACTCTTCTCGCCCAGGCCGACGAACTGTTCATGCTCCCCTCCATCATCGACGAAATTCGCGACGTCAACACCCGCACCCGCGTCCAGACTACCCTCATGCCCTTCGTCAAGCTGCGCAACCCGCGTCCCGACAGCATCAAGTTCGTTACCAACTTTGCGCGCCGCACTGGAGATCTCGAAGTCCTCAGCAGACCCGATTTGCACCTGCTTGCTCTTACCTACGAACTCGATGTCGAGAAGAATGGTGGCGACTCTAGACTCCGCAAGGACCCCAATCAGCGTGTCCCCAACACTTCTAGGTCAGCCACCAGCGATGCTGCCGAGGGTAAGCCTACCCAAGAGGTGCCCTCAGTCGAAGGCAAGACAGTCGAAGGCGAGACAGTCGAAGGCGAGACAGTCGAAGGCGAGACAGTCGAAGGCGAGACAGTCGAAGGCGAGACAGTCGAAGGCGAGACAGTCGAAGGCGAGACTTCTACGGAGGTGAAAGAGGATGCAGACAGCACCGAGACTGAGGCGACGGCAAGCGACGAGGCAACGCAAGCTCCGCGTGCGAATGCGACGGACATCACACAAGAGATGGAGAACCTTGAGGTTCAGGAGGACAAGCCAACCGAGAAGGAATCTGCGGTCGAAGAGAACACCGCCGAAGCAGTCGTCGCAAAGGAAGACGTGTCGGACGACGAGGACGGCTGGATCACGCCGTCCAACGTCAAGAAGCACAAGGAGAAGGACAGCAAGAGGCTTCAACCGACGGAGCCGGCAGTCGACGTCAAGGTGGGCATTCTCACCTCTGACTACGCCATGCAGAACGTCGCCCTGAGAATCGGGCTGAACCTGCTGTCGCCTGCCATGTCGCGCATTACACAGCTCAAGACCTGGGTTCTGCGTTGCCACGGCTGCTTTCAGGTCTGTAAAAAGATGGATAAGCAGTTTTGCCCCAGCTGCGGACAAGCGACGCTCACGCGAACCTCGTGCACCACCGAGGAGGACGGCTCCTTCAAGATCCATCTGAAGCGCAACTTCCAGTGGAACAACAGAGGCAATGTCTTCAGTATTCCCAAGCCGGTCGCTGGAACCTCCAGCGGCAAGCTGGCGAAACACGCCGGCGGCAAGAACAACTGGGGCACCAACCTCATCTTTGCGGAGGACCAGAGGGAGTACGAGAAGGCTGTTGGTGAAAATCGTCGCGCCCGTCGTAGGGACCTCATGGACGAGGATTACCTACCGAGCATCCTGACAGGTGATCGTACTAGCAACAACGGAAAGGTGCGGTTGGGTCCTGGAAGAAACGTGAACGGGCGCAAGAAGAGGTAGACGGCATAGTCTGGCTGGGTGATGGTCGACGAGATGTTTATATGTTCTGCATGATACCATGATAGACCTCAAAAAGGATGGACGGATGGGAAAAGGGCACTTTTCATAGGATTGGGAAGACAAAGCAAGGTTGAATTCTTAATTGCGTCGCTTCTGCTAGATATCGCAGAGCGGTCTGCCCCAAAAACGGACCGTGTAACAGACTCCGGTTTCCCCATGAACACAAGCCTTCCCCCCAACGCCTTTAGTTTTTATGTGCCAGAGCCATGGATCGGGGAGCACCCGCGGACCGTTATGCTCTATCCCCACGCTGCGCAGTGCTGATGCTCTCTCCTGCCAGTCGAACAATCCGTCGCCGTCATGTGATGCTGGTCGGAACGGTTGTGTCTCGGCCGGGTATATGATGGTAAGATACCGTTCGTTTGGTTTTAGAAAATTACTCGGTCTCTGTGGAAGGGTAATTAGTCACTAGAACCAATGACCACGATAGTAAAGGATCATTTACTCACTCTGCTGGGTGAGAAGGAGGTTGAAGCGGCGCTTGAGGGTGACGCGCTGGCGCGACCACTTGTCGTCGGGGGAGAAACGGGCAGGGTGCGCGGACTTGGTGACCTTGCCGTCGGCAACCTTCTTCAAGGTGTACAGACGGTTGCCCGCCTCGTCGAGAGTGTACATCAAATGCATCTTGAAGTCGGCGTTTAAACTGGCGTGAGTGTGGTTGTGGTGGTTGTCGACGGAAGAAGGTGGTCGGCGCAGGCTTGGGTGGATGCTATGGAGGCCAAAGAACTTTTTTTTCCCCTGCGATCTGAAAATTTCAGGCCACGTGACTCTCGGTCAGGATCCAACCGGAAAGACGAATTGAAAGTTCACCGAAATATGGGGTCACCGCCTGTTCTCCACTTTTGGTATCAGTGTCAACACCACACCCTAGTGCCATCATCTCATCCAATGTCGTTTCTTCACTTTCTTGTTGATGTCTTTCTGTCTCAAGTGTTTTCGGCATTGAAAATTTTCCAAACACAGTCTATCAAGTCTTTTTGTTGTTGTTTTTAGCTATCTTTCGCCCGCTTCTGCTTTTCTTTACGTGCTGTTGGAAAACAGCTCAATCACGCGACTTTCACACGCGGCACCTCGGGAAGCAAGTACCAGGGCCCTCGGTTATCCTTGGTACTCCATCCTATGCCATCTCATGGGCATCTCATTTCAGGCCTGCAATCACACTAGCGACCATGTCTATCAGTGGTGATGTCCCATTTCCTGCTCTTTGAACGGTTTGATGCTATGCCCATGAGGGAACGAGGGGCCTGAACAGCGTGATTAGCAGGTGCTCATATTTGTTCGATCATCGGACGCTACTACTGACCGAACTTTGGATGGACAATGTAGTTGTCCTGATAAACATCCACGGCATTGTCTCGCGAGTACTCCATGACCTTATTGAAATCCACACATTGGTGAGGCGCTGTCTGATTGACGATGGGCTGGGCATCTTTGTCGGTCCACATGTGAGTTATGATGGATATGTCGCCCCGACATGCCGCTCCCATTCTAAGCACCTCCAGACAGTGCTGATTGTGCTCTTTGTTGATCGCGATCTCTTTGTCCGTTGCGTTCGGGAAATAATACTCGGGTGACAGAGTCTGATACAGCCGTTTCTAAAGCCCTTCATCAGCGACCTTGATATGTTAGGAAGCATGAGCAGAACATACGATGCAGTGAAGCTCATGGAAAACGCTCAACATGCCCAGGTATCCGCCATCTGGAAGATTTACAGCTTCGTGCTCTCGGCCCCAGCGGTGCACCCATTGATCTGAGACTCTGATATTGTTGTCTGCATCTTTTGTTTCAGCATAGACTCACTGAAATAAGTTGAAGATTTACGGACATTGCAGCAAATCTTTCCAAGCCTGATCAACTTCAGGCCGAGGTTCTCCAGTGTATTTTCCGTGTGGAGGCCCTTGAATGGGGAAGACTTCAAGATGAGTCTCGTCACCGATGGCTCTTGGGGGTGCTGTTGTCGAGGTCAGCGTTTAGCTCCAAAAATATTGTCTGCAAGCTATTTCGCATACAATCAATTTGACTGAATACCCCATGACTCTGCCTGCTCCGGGCCATTGAAAGGAAGAAGATCGTTGAGTATGCTGTGATCAAGATAGTATGAAGTGTCCATGATCTGAACCTGTGCCACCGTGACGGCTGCTTCGATCGAGCTTGCGACAGCTCAACCTCAACATTATCGAGACTCGATGCGGATCTCTCATCTGAAAACACGGGCGTGTAGCCCTTCTCTTGATGGCCCATCCTCAAGCAACACGAGAATTTCAGAATGAAATACTACACGAAACGTTGCCGGTGTGAAATAGGAGCCAGAAGAGCCAAATGTGAGCAGGAGTCTTTGGAGAATAAGCCAAATGAAATTTTCAAACGAATGAAACAGGAGTAGAGGGGGACATGTCCTCGTCAGTCACTTACCACCGTTCTATTCCGGAGGATTCGAGGAGCTGTGAACGGCTCCGTGCAGCCCCGCTTCCTGCGTGCTGTCCAAATCACGCCTTGGATAGCAACCGTATATCTAGTGGTGTCAAGTTTTGACCCTTCTTCCCGCAAGCGGAAGGTCACTATCGGTACGTTCGTAATATCTGACGATGGCGTTCTGAGCCAGCTGGGCTGGAGCGGTCTGTATACGTATGACCTCTTTCCGTATCTGCGTGCTCGAATCCTTCGAGAAAGCAGCTAAACTAGATATGCTAGCTCTCAGGTCATTCGATAGATCTAAGCATGTCTATTCGTTAAATCAAACAGCCTACAACCTAGCCATCCGATTTACATCTCGATCCTCCTTGTACAAGCTTAGCTGAAATAAGCATTTGCTGCCGTAGGCATCGAGGACGGGAAACGTACTATCAAAATAATAGGCTTCATTATTAATGCGTCTGGTCTATCAAGCAGTCGCTTCAGACTAATATTGCTATCGCATTGCTAAATATGTCGAGTTTCCCTACATCTTATGTAGTCGAGTAAAGCTTTGCAACCAGATAAAACGGCAGTTTCACAGTGGCCAATCTTGCCCGAAACTCCGCAGAAAGGTCTTGCTCTCATGATCCTTCCAGGTTTCTGCAATATGCATGAATCCTACCAGCTGTGGGTCATCAAGCTAATGTGAATGGGGAAGGTCGCCCTCTGAGAGTTGTGACTCCTCTTCCTCTACTTCAAATGGGGTAAAATCCTTCAACTTCATGATCCTGTATTGGCCGCTTTGCGACGTCTGGGAAACGCTTACTCCGTGGCCGACTCTAAGTGGAGCTGATAGCTTGTGCAACCATCTCATCTAGCAGCAGGGGTAAGAATTGCGATTCGTCAGCTCGCAAAGCCGTTCCATGTCACCTGCCTGATTGATCCATTGGATCAGCAAGCAAGGTATCAGCTCCTATGAGAAAGTTCTTGTCGCCATATTCTCTGGCCCCGCGGCTCCGAACCGATCGCGCCGAGAGGCCGCCAAGGCAAACGCTTTCCATCTTAAGAGGCAAGCGGACACTTACTCCATGAATTCAGTGTTCTTTGGCATCTTATTAGCTCGTCACAGTTCAAGTCAAAATTGTCTCTCGAATTTCGTCAAGCCTTTCATACATCTTGCTGCTTCAAGATGAAGACCGCAGTTCTTCTCGCAGCTCTGGCAGCCTGCGTCGTTTCTCTCCCAACAACACCTCACGTTGGACTTGGTAGGCTTGAAAGTTTGGAAATCCCTGTATATCTCTATTGACCCTCAATAGCCCAGACCAATGCCGATGAATCTTACCTTCCGATGAAGGCGCGCGCGGAAACCAGTGCCGATGAGTCGTACCTCCCGATGAGAAGAGCCGAAACCAGTGCCGACGAGTCGTATCTGCCAATGAAGCGTGCCGAGCCGAGCGCCGACGAGTCTTATGATCCCATGCGACGAGCTGAGACCAGTGCCGACGAGTCTTACGATCCCATGAGGAGGGCCGAAACCAGCGCTGACGAGTCGTATCTTCCCATGAAGCGTGCCGAGACTACCGCTGATGAGTCTTACCTGCCAATGAAGAGGGTCGAGACCAGCGCGGATGAGTCCTATCTTCCTATGTAAACTAGCTCCTACTGGTTCGGAAACTCGTTCTTTAGCAGTAAAGTCATGGGGAAATGATTTCATACCTGTTCACGGCCGTTGGCTTCATGATTATTAGTCGCTGTTTGCTCGCCCGCCGACATGGCCCGGAGACTGCTGAGGTCACAGAAGCACTGCACCGACCCGAGAACACGATAGAAAAACAGATATTGAGGCATATATGAGTACGATTCTTCGATCCTCAGTGAGCCTAGAGACTGTGCTAGTTTGCAGAAATGGATTGCGGCGGCAGGACTGACTTTCTTGCTCGTCACCTCTCCTTCGGCTCCCAACGCTAGTAGTCCGAATAAAGAAGGAGCATTAACAACAACACAAATAGGCACAGTCCGTTATGACATGGTTTCGGAGACTGAGTTTAAGTCAAATGTGACTGTTTGATTGGATAGAAGTATTGCTTCACTGAGGGTTTCATTGACAAAAGTCCCAATCTAGTTCACTCTTGCATGTTGAAAGTGAAACATGTGCTTCATTACACCAAATGAATCAATTTATTATAAGCCTCGCAATACTGGGGAAGTGAAAGAATGTGAGGGTTGCTAAGACAGCTGGTAATTGGGATCATGGAATTCGTAATAACCTGACCCAACTTCTGTGGTCGCGCCCCCATTAGGCAACGTGATGTCAGCCTTGGTGTTGGGTGGGACTTGGACATTCAGATGAAAGCCGTTGCGGTGCAAAGCATTGTCCTCCGTGTTGTTCTCAAACCACCATTGTACTTTGACCTCTCCGTAGGGACTGATGAACTTGGTGTCCGCACTGGTGATGTTTCCGCCTGGGACGGGGGCGACGGCGATTCTCTTCCAGCCAGGCTCAGCAGGAGCAATGCCACCGATAACTTGATGCATCCAATTGGCAACAGAGCCAAAGGCGTAGTGATTGAAACTCGTCATCTCGCCAGGATTGACGCTTCCGTTCGACAACAGACTGTCCCAACGCTCCCAAGTTGTTGTGCCGTTCTGAACAACTTGGTAAAGCCATGAGGGGACCCGAGTCTGTAGAAGCATGCGATAGAAGTCCTCCGTAGCTCCGATGTTGCGGAGAGCGAACCCTAAGGGAGGAGTTCCGGCGAAGCCCGTGCCGACGAGGTAGTCGTTTTCTGCTACGATGTCACGCAGCGTCTGCGCCGCAGCAGAACGCTGCTCCTCGTCGGTGTAAAGGCCAAAGTCTAGAGCCATGGCGTACGCAGTCTGAGTCCTATTTGCGAGGGCGCCGTCTTGAATCCAGGCATTATGGAACTCCTCGGTTAGGTTGTTCTGTTGACGGCGATATTCCGTCGCGGCATCGTCCCGACCCAGAGCTGCTGACATATTGGCCAGGAACTCCGTCATGTGAATGAGATAAGCATCCGCAACGAGAATCTTCGCAGTCGTAGCGTTACCAGGGGCATCCGAGGGAGCTTTGGGGTCAAGCCAATCCGCAAACTGGAACGAACTGCGATTCCAGAGACCAACCTCGTTGCGACTGATACCCTTGTCAATCCAAGCCTGAGCTTGAGAATATTGCTCTTCCAACAGATCAAGGTCGCCATAGGCCTGGTAAATATTGAAGGGATTAGCGACGGCAACGTCACCCCACACAGCAGCAGGCGTGGCAGGAGACTCCGGCGGGATGGTCGGCACAGTGAAGGGAACGACCATGGAGTCGTTTCGTTGCATTTCTGACCAAATATCCTTGTGCCAACCCTTGAAAAAGCCGGCGGCGTTGTACAGGTAGTTGGCAGTGGGAGCGAATGCGTGCGCGTCTCCAGTCCACCCAAGACGTTCATCGCGTTGCGGGCAGTCGGTTGGGATAGAGAGGAAGTTGCCCTTCATAGACCATCGGACATTGTGATGAAACTTGTTGAGAAGTTGATTCGAGCAATCAAACCAACCAGTTTCTTCCATATCACTATGAACCACGACCGCCGCGATTGACTCGGGTGTTAATGGGGTCTCTGCCGGCCAACCATCGATCTGAGCGTAGCGGAAACCGTGGAATGTGAAGCGGGGTTCCCATGTTTGGTTACCGTTGCCATGAAGGATGATGGAATCCTCTGCCGTGGCGTACCGAAGGGGTCGTAGGGCTAGTTCACCCTCTTCCAGAACTTCGGCATGGCGGAGAGTGAGGTTTGCCCCGCTGGGCCCAGAGACAGTAAGCCTGAGCCAGCCGACAAGGTTCTGTCCGAAGTCGATGATGGTCTTTCCCGAAGGAGATTGAAAAATTGCTTCTGGCTTCCTTTCTTCAACTCGCCTGACTGGTGGTCCATCAGGTGGGACCAAATCACCTTTGGGCGCATCTACCTCCTTCGTAGCAAGCCAGCCGCTGGCTTCGAAGGCCCCAGATGACCAACCGTCCAGGTCCGCCTCTAGTCTAGAGTCGTACTTCTCGCCGTTGTAGATCTCAGATGTGAGAATCGGGCCGGTACTCGCTTGCCACGACGTGTCGGTAGGAACTTCGATAGTGCTGCCGTCATCGAGAGTGACAACAAGGAGAGAAATCAAACCAATAGTGTCACCGTAGTTGTTACGGAAGCCGCCTCCATAACTCAATCGACCCAAAAACCAGCCTTCACCGACGACCACCCCAATGGCGTTATCCCCGCTGTTGACAAGTTCGGTAACATCATACGTGTCGTACACGTGCCGATAGTTATATGATTGCCAGCCCGGGGCAAGCACAAGATCTCCAACCCTGTTTCCGTTGATCTCGGCTTCATATAAGCCCAACGCAGTGATGTAAAGGCGAGCGCTTGATACGTTTGCTGTCACAGGAAAAGTCTTCCTGAAATAGATTGGCCTCTTTGGAGCATCGATCTCAGTGTCTCTATCGGCGGCGATGGGAACAGCGCCCAGCCAGTCACTGCTGTTGAGGAGCCCAGTTTCGACAGTGACCCAGTCGGACCACGGTGTCGAGGGCTGACCCAATTGACCATGGGCTCGGGCCCTCACAGTAGCTTGTTCAGCCGTGCTTAGAGGGGATTCGGGCCATGGGACAAGCAGGGAGTCGGAGGAGTTGACGCTGTGAATGCTTGGTGCGCCACTGGTGCCTCTAATGACCTCGAGGTCGTAAGAAGTCTGCTGCCAGTCGACAGCATTGCCTCCAAACCTCCACGAGATGCGAGGCTCCGACTCGGCTATGCCAAGAGCCAGGCGGTGGTGCTCGAAAGACAGCTGTGATA